CTGAAAAGTGCCCCAAAATGCTCTGGTACGGCAGAGAGTGGGGAGAGTTAGCCCTACCTCTCGAAATCCTCTCACATGGCCACGCGTATATAGCCTCTGCCTGGGAAGTCCTATTCACTGCCTTCTCGTGGCATTACTGTTGTTTACGAAATTGACAGAACAGAAGGCCAATGTCCGGTTCTTTAACCCGGTTGGTGGATACGGAAGATCCACCTAGGGGAGTTGGAAAACCCTCATTCCAAATCAACAGTGCACATGGGCTCCAGTATCCTGAATGAACAAATGGCATATGAACCAATTGTTGGTCACCGGCTTCCATGGGACTGCATCTCCTTACGATGCTCCACTGCCTTGTGGATTAGACCTTCAGGTCGAAGGCCCCCTAAGAAAACCACCTGCTTCGGTTTGGGCACACAGGCAGTATCACAGCCCTCACACAAATCGAATGGTTTATGTGACGCATATCTATTTGGTTTCGCTTTGTACCAATATCTATTTGTTAAAATAAAATACATAAAAAAGCTGAAAAGTAGACTGGGTTAGGAATGATTTTGAGCCTCAGGTAGTGTGAGTTCAGTTCCCCAGGGACATCTATTGGAGACCAGTCATACACTGTCTTTTCATTAGTATTTTTAATTGATTTAGCTATTCATTTTCAAGCTCTTGCCGCTAATGACGGAAATCCGTGGGGCAAAGTGTAGTGCATTATTTTCAAGGTTGACCTTTTCCAACCCTCTCCTTTATGTCGTAGGAAGGCAGCGTCGCTGATATTGGTTGTCTAGAGGAAACACTTTACTACAATCACGACTAAAGTACGGCTAGCAGTACAAATTTGTCTTCGGGTCATGAGTTTGGTATTTTCAGTGTTATCACTCTCCAAGCGACCTGCCTGATATGATGAGACCTGTAGAAATAAGTGTTCCAATCAAGATAGCTCAAATGGGTCTCTACTGTATGCATACTAGACCACCATGTCAAGGTAGCAGTTATGCAAATTGGCAAAAACCAGATGAGCTTTCTCTCAATTTAAGTCAGATTTTCTTCAGATACCGGCCCACCAAGGGTAGTGAAAAACCCACCCCCTTATGATCACCCCATCCATGACGTAGAACAGATTTCAAACGACATTTTCCATTCAGAAAGGAAGAAACGCAACTGAAGTATTCTTAGATAGCGTTTAGGAGACTGTATTTTACTTGTATCTTCACGTACATCTACTTAGTCCAAGTCAACGAAAGTGTCCTAATGTGGATGATTCCTTGAAGCGTCGGATCTTAAACGAGCCACCTCTGAGAATATATCTATGACAAGATGGTGTTTTTAACACTGACCTTGAAGTAAAAGAATAGAGTTACAGTCGGACGTTGGAAGACGTGCGTATATATTGGGCAATCTAATACAAAGTGCACGGACTAAATGTATCCACCATTAAGTCGAAAAACTAACTGGTCATTTCAGATTTACTGTACCGAATCTTCATTTAAGCAGTATTAGGTGGTTTTCAAAAACAAATTTCTGTCTTGTAGACGAAACTAATTCCCAATTTCAACAATCTAAACGATAATATTAGATAATCATTTTTATAAACCTCTAGAATTCAATCAACCGAGGCTTACTTCTCTCTATCAACTTTCAGAGTTGAAGATCCAATATCGTGCACTTATTCAAACTAATCAATTTAACAAAATGTGAATAATAATACTCAACAAATCTACTATTTGAGGACTTCAATAAATTCATATGTCCAAGCATATCTAAAACACTTTATTTACAGAAAATCTTATTGTTAAAATATACAACCTATTTCATATTGTCATTACAATGACAGTTATTAGTCACTGATTAGCTTTTGTTTACAATTAAACTGATGTTTAGGAAAGGATTATCCAGGACAGAGTTGGATGGAGAGTACTGGTGGGCAGCCTATGATCCTCCACGAGGAGTAACAAGCGTAACAAGCGGACAATAAACAGATCTAACAGCAAAATACCTAATCAAATCCCAATCATCACTATGGTTCTAGGTTTTTCGATGCTTGTTTCTATCGTTGTATTAATCATTTTAAAAAAAAAACAAATTGCAAGATGACTCATTAAAGTGTATTCTTCAATTATGTTATGACCAAACTTTAAAAAACCAAAAAAAAACGGACACTCATTTTTGCCAAATCTATTTTTAGTTGGTTGGATCTATTTTTTTTTAATTTTTGTGCAATATGTGTCATCCAATTTTATTTATTTTATTTCTTTCCTCTACTTATTAAAGTACATGATTACTGATACACATACGCACACACATATACAAGTCAATGCAATAAAGGTACTACTTTCCTGTCATATACAGTTAGAAACCCTATTTGAAAAAGGTAGTAAAAATACAGTGCGTATAATGATGTACATATGTGTATATATACAACACATATGTAAAAGAGGCATGATGAAATGCATACAGTACATTCATGCATGATACACAAAGAAAGGTAGTATTGATTTACATATTATTTACAACATAAAGAGCTATGAGATTGGGACAGAAGTGTAGTAGTCTATCTAAATGTCAATTAGTTATAGTTGAATTTATTATCTTGTGACTTTTAATTAGCGTACTAACTCGATTAATTATTCATGATTATGATGAATATCAAACAAACAACAAACGTTATTACCTCATTATGATACATTATCTGTTTCACTGATTTAAATAATGAGTCAAATGAAATTAGACCACCATGGAAAACCTGAAAGAACTGGTGGATAGCCCTTTCGTTCTACTGTGGGACTCCTCCTTGGCAGTGAGCATCTACGATCTCGCCTTGCGTGATTCGAACCCAGGACCTATCAGTTTCGCACGCGACCGCCTAACCACTAGACCACTGAACCGGTCGACATCCAACGGTGTTAATGTCTAACTTCAACCAATCCACGAAATTGAGCGACACATCCACCATTGTCTTCAGTGAGTTACTATCTCACAACAGACCCGGTTGAACTCCACTGATCACTGCTTCTCACTAGAACTCCAGGAAATAATTCTTGGAGACCGTCACTAGTGAGCATATGTTGATTAATATGAGAAGGGTGGTTTTGTGGATATTATAGTAGTTTTGGGGGTTGAGATCATGTTTAACGGTCTGATTATTCGTGCCTAAAACGATTCTTTGTATTTTTCAATCAAATGTTTAGATTTCCTTGGATATTCCGATTGTTTCCTAAACTATCTCTCTCGTTATATTGATGTGATGTGCAGATAACTTATTTTATTTCTATTTAGTTTAAACACATAAATATTAGTACAAGGAGGCACCAAATAGATAAATCATTCGATTTGTGTGAGGGCTGTGATACTGCCCGGGTGCCCAAACCGAAGCAGATGGTTTTCTTTGGAGGCTACACCATGAACCTTTGACCTAGAGGTCTAATCCGCAAGTTGATGGAGCAACGTTAGGAGATACAGTTCCATGGTAGCCGGTGACCAATAATTGGTTCATATGCCATTTGTTCCTTCAGGATCTTGGAGCGCATATAGACTATTGGTTTGGAATGAGGTTCTCCAACTCCCATAGACGGATGCTCCATATCCGCCGACCGGGTTAAAGGACCGGACATCGGCTTTCTGTTCTGTCAATTTCGTAAACAACAGTAATGCCACGAGAAGGCAGTAAATAGGATTTCCCTGTCAGTGGTTGTATGCGCGTGGATATGTGAGAGGATTTCGAGAGGTAGAGCTGACTCTCTCCACTCCACGAAGTTGTGCCACCGTACATCATTGTCTTCAGTGAGTTGATTTCTCACAACAGACCTGGTTGAACTCCACTGGTCACTGCTTCTCACTAGAACTCCAGGAATATCTCTTGAAGTCAGTCACTAGTGAGCAGATGATTATTATCAGGAGTTTTGTGGAGATTTTAGAAATTTCACCGATTGAAATCATGAGTCAATTGAAGCGAGACCACCATGGAAAACCTGGAAGTCCTAGTATGGGACTCCTCAACAGTGCGCATCCACGATCCCGCACCCCGCTTCAATTGACTCATGATTTCAGTCAGTGAAATTTCTAAAATCTCCACAAAACCTCTTCTGACATTATCTGTTTGTTTTTTTTTTCTAAAAAAACCCACATGAACCGAGGCTATAAATGCTGTTAGGTTATACGTCAATTGTATTGTACTTAGGCCACCCCCTTTTCTGAATCATTCTAACTTTTATTCACTGCTAATGGGCTGGAATTCGTACGATACTCATGGATCATTGTTACATGTCATGATAACATATCAGCATATTCACTAGTAATTGTTCACAATTACTCCACCTATTCACAAAGACTTCATTGCTTACAATTATTTTTTATTCTCAAAAATGCAAATTCGTCATATGATAGAGTATGCATTTGGACGATATGAAGACGACGAAATATGAAACAAACAATACGGCGGTTAACGAGAATAATTCCTTCCAGAAATTTGCTCAAAATTTGTATTATTGTGGATAATCTCAATGTTGATATTTTGTTCAGTTTCAGTGTACCATGTGTGAATTACCTCAGTATACCCATTAAGACACATTTCTTTTTATAGAAGAGTTGGGATGTGGTTAGTAGTGGAATTCAGGATGAGTGTTTCGTTCTATCTGGGACTCGTCAGTTGAGTCTGCCTGCATCCTAGAGTTGATGTCCACTCCGGAATTCGAATATCAATTCTGGAAGAGGGGAACTGGCAGGTACATACAAGTAATAAGTCCCAAATAGGAAGAAACACGCGTTCTGAAATCCGCTGCTAACAATATTCAGATATGTTTTAAACAACGGAAAGTGTGGTAAGAACAATTGTATTGCCACAAATAGGAGAATATTTTAAAGGACAAAATGTACAGACATTCCTTAAATTTGGCTTTAAAAAAAGACCCAAGTTGCATAACATTTAGCTTGCTTATTTGTTGGACAGACGATAGACGGAGACATTGCAAATAATGACAGAAGAAGACGAAGAGAACCAACAGACTTACCCAACTACTAGTTAACTGTTGATGAAGTACAGAGCGCAGTTTATCCTTATCCCTTTCAAGCTCTTGTATTCGTTGATCTTTTGCATTGACAACAGCTTTTAAATGTGCAATCATTTCTTGTAATTGGACAATTGTTTCATTTGTTGTTGTAGGATTAGATGGATTATTTATAACTCCATTAATAACATTATTATTATTATTGCTAGGAGTAGTAGTAATAGTATGGCTACTGTTAATTGATTGTGGATTAGTCTTACCATATGACGATAGATGATCATCATTTGAAGATGATGTTTGTTGGTTAGTTGGATGACTATGTATGACTAACTGTTTATTATGTGATTTTGTATTGGCTACATTTTTAGTTACCTTATTGGTGACATTTCCATCGGAAGAATGAGGAACCCCACCGCCAACACCAGCCCCATAGCTTGGGTTAGCCTAGGTATGCCAACAAGATAAATAGATGTAAAAAAAATTAAAAAAAATTTTTAATAGACTAACAGGTTAATAAGATATCCAACTCACTAAATGCAACAGAACACGATCGTATTCTACGAAACAATAGCTGGGCATTAAGTAATCGGAAGTAATCCGTTGGAAGCCCTGTTTGACCCCGGTTTGGTGTCATTAGATATCTACAATACTAAAACAATTGATGCTCTCTTCGTAAGATCAGAATTCCATGCCACAACCAAAGAAGTGACTACTGAACTACTACACCCACTCCATGTTTGTCTAATCTTTGGTCCTTATCGAGTTCTATCACACAAACTCCAATTTACCTCAACTCAATAATTAATTCTATATAGGATCCCGTAAACGACAGTGTGGGAAATAACCATACAAAATGGTTAAGAAAGCCGAAATAGATGGTGTCGTTTTGATCCCTTGGGGTGATAATTCCCCATTATATATACATGTAATCGATGAGTGATATCTGTTGTAAACGTAAAGCTGAGTTTTGGCTGACTAAAACCGAGAAACTTTCACAGAGCTGTTTCAAACCATGAAATAATTGCTTCACCAATATCTAAACGTGTGCAGAACTACTTCTGCCAAGCTACTGACATATCATGACCGATTATTGGAGAACACCGAACAAACACAACAGAGAAAAATGAACAGTAGTACCCTATCCGTCAAAGAAAATGCAGATACACTAGACAGACGAAATGGAATATAGGTAAGTCTCAACTCCTTATGTATAAGTAGACGAGTCGATGAGATGATTGATTTCGAACCACACTACTTGAGAGTTGCCTGACAAAAACTAGTCCCAAAGGATGTATACAGCCGAGTCGTCAGGAATAAACTGTCAAAGTTTGCCACGACAAAAAAGAACATGGAACTTCTAATGAAAATAGATCTTTACAAAACACCTTGATTTAAGCTAGATCTTTATTTGTGTACGTAGAACAATTAAACTGAACGGACACATTCACAGACACGAGAAGTGCCACCTAGTGATTCTGGTTAGTTTGAAAGATATCAACTGTAGATTATTCTGAGTAAGTGCACAGTTCTTAATTACACGCCACAATAATAATAATTTGTATTCTACATAAATATCAATATGTTGCAATAAACAATGAATACTTAGAATTATAGTGCGCTATTATGTTGACTAAAAAAGTGGACATCAAGAAACCTCTGATCTCAAAATTCTATTCTTGCCCTAACATTTAACCCCAATTCGAAGGACACTCCTACCATAATATTGCACCAATTCAAATAAGTATAGCTGCATGTAAAGCAAATAACTCAAAACGCACTAGATTGAACGATACAATCCCATGGTACGTTGGATTTCATTTAAGATGTTCAGAGGTAATCAGTAGAAATCTGAGTTGTATTTCCGTGTTTATTCAAAAAAGTATGGAGTAACAAGTTTTTTCAAATTTAAAGAACTCTCAATTGGTTCGCAGAATGAAGTCACATACTAGGAAGCTTCAAAGTATGGAGCACTTTTTTTCAAGACAAACTACTCCCAAGTTCATTCATTAAAAAGACAAAATTCTGAGAACTGACTACACTTGGACATTAGTAGCCTGTCTATATATAATGAACAAAAATCACTCACATGATGAGCATTTCCCATAACTTTCTGTAAAGCGTCTGTGGCCTGTTGCGGTCGACGATGAGATCGTAATTCCAAGATTTTCAATTTCTCTGAACTACTATTACTACTAGTAATATGATTAATATTATTTGAATGTGTTCGATTTAGTAATTTCTTAATCAAACCATGTTTTTGTTGACCACTACTGATAGTTGACTTTGTATCTCCATTATTATCCTCATTACTTTCATGAAATATTGATTCTTTTAAACTAGACTGATTTGGTAAAGATGTAGGATATTGATGAAAATTAGTCGAGCAATCGTAGCTACTGTCGTATGATTGATTTGACATATGAGCTTTTACAAGATTATTTCCAGAGGTTAGACATGTGGTCTGTGTACGATCAACAGCCAATGAGGGCAATCGTTGGCTTGTCACAATTTCTGGCTTCTGATTGGTTGCTTTGTCCATTGGTTGACTTTAGTGAACCAATTGGATGTAAACAATCTACTTGACTCGATAATGCACTCACGCTTGCTCGTGCTTTTCTTAATCGGTATGGAGGAACTAAACACTATGGTCTTCAGTAAGTGGATAAATAGCCGTAGTCAGTCATCTGAAAAAACATACAAGGTAAATTTATGCATCATATCGTATTCTTACTCAAATGCATTTGATATTGTTGATTTACTACAAAATATGCTTGCATTCCTACAAGCTATCACATAACAAATAATTGACAGCTCAATCTGCGATAATTGTAATACTAATTGAATAAGTGAAATCGGATTTTTGCACAGTTTTACCCAGTCAATCAGGATCGAAATGGGTGAATTTTAGTTTAATGTGCAAAATTCAAAAAAGATAGTGACAGTTATCATCTGGTTTTGTTGGAGTTATTAAAAAAAATGCTTACGATAAATGACAGAGTCAATTCTGCTTTCAGACATCGAAAATATCATTCCTGAACGCAATTTCTACCTGAGAAATTGTTCAATATGACTCTAACAAGGTAGTTGGCGCTTATCAAAATGGTTCAGTTCAACTGTTAACGACTTAATGGATTGATGACATATTTCGACTTAGCCACCCTTAGTTTTTTTCCAACATGTCCCTACTCCAACCGACATAGTTGAACATAATAAGGAACTAACATATGTCTTAACCATATCAGTCAATGAAGATCCACTACTTCATTGATCAGTTCCCCATGTCCACTTAGCACCCTTCATCCAACCTCAGCACGACACATTCGGTGGTCCCAACGTACGCTTCAAATGCATCTGTAATCAAATACCAGTAACCTGTGAATGGTCTTTAAGCTTAAAAGCCACATACCACTGCCATAAATCAAAGCAGAAGGAAATATCGTACAGTATACTCAACAGAAGACGGACATCCAGCCCACATCACAAGTGAAACAAGTTGATGAAAGCCAAGACAGCTTTACAAAGTGGTGCCGAGATTGAGTAAGACATCAACCTGTAAGGAATAGTGAGTTTTCTAAGATAAGTGAAGTGGTCAATGCACTCAACCACTTTATTCCCTAAGGTTAATATAGGAGATGAGTCAAACTAATCCTGGAGCAACATATTTAGAGGGATGGAAACACCCTAAGCACGCTTGTATTGTTACTTATAGGGATTAAAAGACTTTTCGTTTACTCAGACATTTTGTCAATCAGAACTTTCATCTTCGTATAACAAGTTTATAAGCGAGGCCCCTGGTAGGAGATCATTTTCTGAAGGTTCAGACGAAGGCGTTGTCTCCAAAAGAATATCTATGACAAAGTTAACAAAGGGTATGGTAGATATTCTTGACAAACATCACTCATTATTATCAATTTTGATGACAATAAGCCACAAGCTCTGGATCGACAAAATAGTTTCCAAGTAAAGAGCTTTCACGTGGTTTATATACTGCTTTTAGTGGCAAACACTACCATCTCTGTCGTCGACCGAGTAACCATAGCAAGAATGTCTAAATTTAGACTACAAAACAATTCACCAGTTACATCTTTCGAGAATATGAGGAAAGATTGAAAAAATCTTTCGAAACGCCGAGTGGTATTTCATTTCAAGCTCTTACTTCCATTTAATGTGCTTTTTTACATACGGGAATTCGATATGTGTTACAATGGCTTATTTACAGAAGACATGTCAATAGCTTTAGACGACTGAACTGTAATTCTGAATAGTGTTCATGCTCTTATATCCTGTACTCATCCACTAGATGTGAACGGAAAAATGCTAGATATTGCAATATTATTGAACAAAGAAAAAAGGAAGATTGGTGTCACACAATTTAAGCTACTGTTTTCTATGCAAATACACCATACACTGTATGCAAAAACATGAATATATTTTTAATGAGTAATAATCCTGATTTTCTTTTCATTGAAAATCAACAAGACTTTGGTAAAACGATGATACATTTTAAGTGATTGTCGATATGTTTAAGCTTTTAATTCTTTGTAAAATTTGGTATAAACAGGGGGACTACAATCCACATAAATTATCGAATCTCGCTAGGCGGGATCGTGGGAGCGTACTACTGAGGAGTCCCACCATGGAACGAGACGGCCGTCCAATGCTTCCAGGTTTTTCATAGTGGTCTAGCTTCAAATGACTCATGATCTTAACCACTGAAATTACTATAATATCCACAATAAAACCCTTCTGAGAATAAATATATTTTTGAAGCTTATAGTGACAAAGAACTGTATAAATGTCAACACAATCAATGAATTGAGAAATGTGGTAACTCTATAACTTTCTGACAAATTGTGAGTTTAATTAGTGTGCGCTATGTAAAAAGGTTTATATAGGACGATAGCTACTAGTTTATTAGATTCATTCAGGGTAGGTAGGCTGAAATTTAGAAATTAGTGGAAAATAATCTTCAAGATTGATATCATGAAATGACCATAGTAAAAACACCATTGAAAACAGGAAACCACTTGATTGTTGTTTCATTCTAGTATGAGACTCTTCAATAAGGCCAATATACGACTACAACACAGAAAATCGAATGCAGCACTTTCGGTCTCGCCCAAGAACGTCTAACCTCTAGACCAGTGAGCTGGATGGAATCTAACAGTGTTAATACCCAACATCAATAAATTCACGATATTGAGCAGACACAATTCAATTTATATTCTCTGAGGTAAATAGTTATCTTATACTCGACGTGCTTGAATCCTACTGATCACAGTTCAATAGAACTCCAGGAGCCGTATCACGAAATTGGTCACTAGTGATTCCTGGATGTGGGGTCGTGAATGCACACCATTGGGGGCGGCCAAACCAAAACGTGGCATCAGTGCTTGAAGTCACTAACTTCTAGTCTGAGCCATGTTAGTAGATGAAAACTAATTGGTTGGTATCTGCGTGACGATCATAACCAACGGTTGGAGACCCTGAGTGACATGGCTCAGAATCGATCACAATGTTGTCACGATATCTTCCCTTACATGGTGAGATTAAAATTACTTTCTACCAACTAATTCTTTCTTTATGTATCACATCTTTATATGCAATCTTTCTTTTATATATTACTACCATTGAAGTATCTGCTTCTATAAATTCGGTGTTCATCTTGTTGTGCTAATGAGGTATGGCAACTTGGACCGATGCATATATGTGCCTGGTCCTACGTTGTAGCTGACTGACTGACCATTAAGGAGTCCCATACTAGGATAGAACACTCTCCCAGTACCTCCAGGATTTCAGTGGTGACCTAGCCAAGATTGGTTCATGATTTTGACCACGAAAATCCTACAATCTTCACAAATCTCCCTACACTAATAATAATGTGATCACTAATGAATAGCTTCAAGATGCAACTCCTGGAGTGCGTAGCTGTGACCAGCAGAATTCAACGGTGTTGGGTGACAGTTATCTACCCCACGTAGAGTTTAAGTTAAATGTACTAGAAGTCCCTGGATCATAACGTAAATTAAAAGGAAATAATGTTTGTAAGGCTGTTTTTGAAGGTAATCGACAGAAAACCCAGGACAACCTAGGTCTCGTGCTGCTTAACAATCGTCAATATCGTGTACCAGTGATCTTGAGGGAACTGACAACTCCCAATGGATTCAATCTCGTATTAGCCTAGCTCCACAGTCTAAGACGTTATCGATGAGCGGTTCGGGCTGCAAGTGACAGAGGGCACTAAGATGCATTTATCAATGACAGCGTGTACTATTTTCATATATAAGGTTATATTTAGATAAAGTTGATAGGAAACATTGGACTGCCGCTGATTCACTTAGAATAATACCCATGTGGCAATATGATCGGTAAAATTCAATCAGCACTAAGCGGAACTTGACATACATTAATTTGATCGGTGCTCACTGATCAATCGACTGTAAATTAATGTTTGTTTATCAACACAAAGACGATTAAATATGTTTGCTAAGCGCTACAACTGTGCTGTTTTGCGATATAACTACGAATGTTTCTTTGAAGTTTATGTTGAAGTTGGTCTACAGGAAAAGCAATAACTGTGCGCCAGTGACAGTATTTACATATAGTCAACAGCAATAATATTTGAAACTTCTGTCGGTTTTAAATATCCTACTTACAAAGTTATCAGTAGCTTACAACGCCATAATATAATAAAACAAGGATCAAACAAAACTCCAACAAAGATATTTCTGCGGTCAAATATATTCATGTCATTCAATAAGTTAAGGAAAACAAACAGTTGAGTCCATGTTGGATTACTTCTCAAATATTTACAAACTCTGACTCAATCATTATTAAAGTTGGAAGGTCATATACAACAGAATTGATGATGACTTTTAATCAATCGAGTAAATCATGTGAATAAATATATTAAAATGAGAATTATTATGTCACGATTATTGCGACAATAACATTTAGGTCAAGAAAAATTCCTCAGGTCATCACAGACATTGTTGATGCAGTATGTGAATTGGAGGCATCGTTTACATATAAACATATTTCATTTATCACTGAATCTTACATCAGTGTTTCAAGATAATCATCAACGCTGAACAGCTACATCAGTCAGAAGATGGTACAAGAAGATATTTCTAATGCAATTAATGACAAAGTACGGATCAGTAATTAACAATGATGGAAATTTTATATGAAGTAAAAATGAAAAATAATCCTTTAGGAGATTAGAATATTTAAAATCAACTGTACAATGAGAAATTGAGATATTCATACGTTACTGAAGATAATGTGATATTTGTGCACTAGGTTCACTTCTAGCTATATTGAGAAAACCGGCCTAGTCAACTGATATTGTGCTCACTAAGTTTATTATTTCGAACCAGTTGTAACAAGGGTTCTTATATTATCTTACGGTATATAGATATAGTAATGTTTTAGTTGTAATAGTAATGTGATGCATGCTACGTATACGGACAGATATAAGCAATATGTATCAGTATTTGGAAGTAGAATCCCGATGGACAGAAGAAGGAAATGAAGAGA